AGGATCCATGTTATCCTCTACCGGGCCGGGCTGCGGCTCGGTCATACTGACCGCCATTGCCTGTTCGAGGATGCCAACTGGCATTCCTCTTCCCTTGCATGTCATATGTATAACTCTTATATAATAGTCGCGAGATTCGTGTTGAGATCCGTTTACTTCTCTTATCCCCATCGGGGTGGGGAACTTCATTTTTAGATGGTAGATAGAGGTGGCTGCCTTGAAATTTCTTAGTATAGGTCATCGCAAAATTCCATTAAAGGCGGACGGACAGTCTACTACCAAAAATTTGGTTATTTTGGTCACTTCGTCGGTTTCCCCCAACGTGACCAAGAGCAAGATCGTTCCCCTAGGAATCAGATGGTCCTCGGTAAAACCATAAAAAGGGATAGAGGCAGGCTTCAGGTTTGCCTCATCCAGTTGCATTTTCTCGAAAGCTCGCTAAAATAGGACATTCACGGTGCTTCCATTGTCCATCAACTTTCTGTGGACTTCGCACAGGCCTATTTCAGGCGCGATGACGAGAGGCATCCTCATGGGGATGATGCAATCGCACCACATCTTTCTCAGAGAAGGTGATGATCTCCTCCCTGCGAACCTTAGTAGGTCGCAACATTGTGCTCATTATACTCATGGGGTCATGACAGGCTTCCCGAGCGTACCTCTCCTAGGCACCTCGAGAATTCCCCGCGAAGTGTGGTCCTCCGAAGATGATCCCTACACAATAGAGTCCCTTGCGACCACGGCGCTTCTTCCTTGGTTCCTCTTGATCTTTCTCCCAAATGGGAGTCAAGCCATCAACATATTCTTTGAAGTACCCCTTCTTGATAAGGTCTTCGATTACCTGCTTGAGAGCCCGACACTCATCGGTGTGATGCACATTATCCCTATGATAGTGGCAGTAGTTTATTTTGTTTCTGGTTAAGGGGGGAATCTTTATGGGTTCTAGCTCTCTGAGCAAGCTGGCCTCCTCTGACTTATCCAGAATGTCCGATATTGAGGCGTTTAGAGGAGTGTATTGATTCTTGTCGTGATCGCGATGAGGAACTGGGGCATAAGATTTCGTGGGTTCAAACCGCTGCTTCTTTCCTTTCCACTGATCATCATTAGCCCATCTACGATCAGTCCTCCTATTCTCCCCTCGGTTGGGAGCATTGCTTGAGGGACCGGGGTCGTGGCGATTGAGAGCGGCCACAGAATTTTTAATTCGGAGGTATTTTTCGGTGAGGTTGTAAAAGCAAGTGAGGGAAACGTCGTCCTCAGATTGTAGTTCCTTCCAAAAATCTGTCTGCGGGCGAACTCCCACGATAATGAGAGTCCAAACGGACTCTTCGGGAGTATGAGCCACTTTGTGGAGTTCCTTGTGGAATCTGTCTATGTAAGATTGGAGGGATTTTTCCCTCTCCTACCGTATGTTGCTCAGGTAGCTCAATAGCATTGAGAACTTCATGTTTGCCTGGATGTGTCTCAGGAACGACGAGCTCATTTGAGGCCATGAGCTGATTGATCCCACAAAAAGCAACCTGAACAAGCGATTGGCATGGGCAGTCAGGGTTATTGCTAAGCATCGACAATTGGCTAAGTCGGAGACTTGGTGGAGTTCCATGAGGTCGTTGAACTCGTACAGGTGATCCTGTGAGTCTGAATTCTCATATGTCGAGCACTCTGAATCTCGATGGAGGAGGAGCAGCTAAAATTGCTAGAGAAAAGGGAAATGCCTCTGCGACCTTCCCACGCTCATTCTGCTAAGCCTTAAGCTAATCCAACACTCGCTGTAGTTCCTCAATCTGAGGCAGCAGAGCTGCTTGGGGATCACTTTTTGCAATGTGGGTTCGACCCTCACAGTTGCGGTTGAGGAAAGACCACAAATCAGGCTCTTCCTCAACTCGGTTAGAAGCTCTAGCAAACCTTGGTATACGTTGGCTGGAGCCGTGTATGGCATTCAGTGATTTGGGGAATTTTTTCAAACTCTGTGGTGGTTTGAACTGACCTGCGGACGACAGGGATTGCCCACATGACAACGATTGAGGTCGCCATTTCAGTGATATTAGGAATCTCCCCGCCTTGCACTTTTGTGGGAGTGCCCATGCTATGTGGCGTGGGATAGCCCATGCTGTGACATGTCGCCGAGTCATAGTGCCACGGGTATTCTACTCGTTGCACAATCAGTGTTCACTGGTCTCTCGGAGCCTTCTAGTCTGCTATTCGCCACTTGCTTTCCCCTTCTTTGGTGCACTGCAGTGTGTGCGGTACAAGCTTTCGCCCTTTTCCGCTCTTTCATGTGACCTGCAAGTGTTTTTGGCGATGGCACCGCCTCATTAGATTCTGGTGGCACGACTCGATCCAAATGGTCTACCCTTTGGCTAACCGTTTGGAGAGTATTATTGAACCTCTCCAGGTAACTCATGACAGCTGGGTTGAGCCATGAGCTTGAAGGAATATCTGCCATGATACTTTGTTGGACTGGCGGCATTTCAGGAGAAGTGTCCTCTTGTACCTGGGGGATTTCCTCATTGTCATAGTCAGTTCGCTCAGGTTAGAAATTGCGAGCCATTTGCTGATTGGTAGGACCGATTAGTCAGAGATTTTTGATGAAGAGCGGATATTAAATCAGGCACTCCTTCTAGCGCCAAACTGTTGATATTGTATTTTGACACCAACGACTCACACGTGCAAAGTGCTAAGCGAACTTAGAAATCTCATGTGATAAGGAAACATGAAATGAAACAATGAATGAGAATCGATATTTAAAGTGGTTCGGATGCTTAAAAGTGAATCCTACGTCCACTGCTATTATATTAATAGATGGGTAAAATCAGGTCGCGTGAGGCAAGCTGAGTTACAATCTGGAGGGAATACAGAGAGAGAGAGAGAGAAAAAGAGAGAGAGAGAGAGAGAGAGAGAGAGAGAATGTGTGTAAGCTGTTTTAGACTAAGATCAACTAATCCTGTAAATGAGAGGGGTGTCCTCTATTTACAGTGGGAGAGTTCAAGTTAATGATTACAAGTTAGCAAGTGGGTAGGTGTCGTGCAAATCTTTCTTTGCATCCCATGGGTTATATGCATGAGAAATATTCTCAAATTGCGTAAGGCTTAGGTAGGTGGGTAATCCCAACCACTCACAAGCTTAGCATTCACCTGCTGCACTGACAAGAACCATACCTCTCCGGTCACTGCGCGATGTGGCAACGTCTGGATGACACAAAACCTTCTTGAATCCTGATTGGCTCTTGCTGACGAGAGTCCACGTCAGCCCTAACTTTTCAGGCATAACAATATACATAGTAGCAGGTTTATAAATTTCTATTAGGGTGAGCCAAAATAAAAACTAATTGCACATCAATATTTTTATCCATTAATATTTATGTTAGGGTGGGTCAAAGTCTATAAATTGTACATATTAATATATATTTTTAAAAAAAAATTGAGGGTGGGCCAAGTGCTAGATCTGCCCCTATTATATATATATATATATATACACACACACACACACACAGAGTAAAACCTCTATATAGTCATAATGGTGGGATCAAACTAATTTATTACTATAAGGGGGTTATAACTTAATAGAAATGTAGTTACAAAAAATTACTATTTTGATTTCTTATTTTATAATTCACGTTTTAGTGATTAGGATTTCTATTCATTATTTTAATAGTCATTGTAGCAATTATACAAGAAGAGAAAAGAAATAATCCTGAGGATGATAGTATAGAAATACAAAAAGTTTAGTGTCAAGAAGCTCTAAACATGCTTGAGAAGCTAGAAATATTTTGGTTTCAACAAGTAGGTGTCCGTTGTAGTAACAACTCTAAAGCATAAATTATTGTCTTAAACAAGTTTAGATAAATATTTAGTTCATTTTAAACCTTTAATGTAAGTATTAAAACTTTAAAATAGTCTTAGTACAAAATTAATCACAACCAGGTGTGGGTTTATAAGTTATAACCCATTAAAGCATTTAATTAACAGATTATTTATCTATAGTTTGCTGACTTTTGATAAAATAAAAAAGAAAATAAAATTAGTTAAGTGATACTATTCACATGTGATAAATCTTCTATTCGATGTGTGAGTTTTAATCAAATTAAATATTTTGTATTAGTTTTAATTAATAAAAAAGAAAGATTCTATTAAATAATTAATTTAGATTATAAAATAAGCTCTCAACTGTCTTTATTTCTTGTTGTTTATGAAGCTCCATTATTATATTTTTGTAACTTTGCCTTTCTATTTTTTTCTTCTTTTTTTGAACCCTCCCCCGAGACTACACAAACAATAAATTTCATAAGTTTTGACAAATTGAAATAATTCCAAGATTTATTTTTTTGAAAAAGTTATTAATTTTATGTAAATTGATAATTTTATTGATTAAATGTCTTCAAAAAGGGGTAATTTGTCAAAAATAATACATTTTTGAGATTCTGAAGTGAGTTTAGATAATAATTACTAACAAGTTCATCAAGTTTGGACACCTATTATTAGGTTAAAAGTTATAACTATTTACTATTTATAGAATCATAACTTTATTTTTTTAAATCGTTAATTTTGTATTACAGTTTAAAGTGACTCAAAGTATAAAACTAAGAAAAGCAGAGAGCAAGAATATAAAACTCAGAAAACAGAGAACAAGAATAGGTTTAAAAAAGTTGAAGCATTGTATTTTTCACATTGATATCATTTGTCTCTATGTTTACAATTTATAGAGAAAGGAAACAGGGATGATCCCTGTTCACAGTCATCTCAGCCGCTTAATCTATATTGCAAAGGTTTTATTCTAGCCATTAGATTGGTTTTTCTTGATATGCAACTTGTCAATTTGCATAATAGATGGATTGAAACTTGTCAACTTGTTCAATTGATTTTGATCCACTTGCAGTTTGTTGAAGAGAAAACGAAAAGTGTATTGACGTCTAAGAAACGAACTTTAACTGCTTGAGCTGAAGTTTGTTACTGGTAACATCGTCCCTCAAGTTGAAGTTCAAGTAGCCAATTCAGACGTTATCATTTGTTATCTTCCTGATCATCCTTCAATTCAAAGTTTGCAGCTTGCCTTAATCCTGATTGTCCCTCAAGCAAGAAGGAGGAAGAGGAAGCAGATGACATTAAGTGAAGTTGATCACGAAGAGCACAAAAGTGAGAACCAGAAAGAGGTTTAGTTAGAATGTCAGCCACTTGGAAGGCAGTAGCAACATATTGGACAACAAGTCGTTTGGAATAGACCATCTCATGAACAAAGCGAACATCGATTTTGATGTGCTTTGTGCAGGCATGGAAAACTGGATTTGAAGCCAGAGCTCCCGCACTGGTGTTGTCGCACCATAGAACAAGAATTCTAGGGAGGGAGATGCACAACTCTTGGAACAAGTTCTGAAGCCAAGCAATTTCGGTTGAGGCTTGGGCAAGAGCTCTATATTTGGCTTTAGTTGAGGACAAAGCCACCACTGATTGTTTTTTGGAACACCACTGAACCAGTTTGGAACCAAGGAAGATGCAATATCCGGTGGTGGATTTGCGATCAGAAACGTTGCCAGCCCAATCAGCATCAGCGTAACCTTCCAGTTGCAAGGTGTCACTCTTGGTGAAGGTTAAACCATGATGAATAGTCCCTTGAACATACCGAAGGATACGCTTGCAAGCTTGCCAATGATTTACTGTTGGAGCTTTAAGGAATTGGCTGAGTTTGTTGACCACAAAGGACAAGTCAGGACGCGTGAGGGTAAGGTATTGGAGTGCGCCAATAAGACTCCTATAAATTGAAGGCTGATCAAGGAGTGGATTGTCTTCAAAGGCCAATTTAGAACCAAGTATCATTGGTGTGGAGAAAGGATTGAAATTTTGCATTCCATATTTGACTAACAGATCTTGAGCATAGGTGCTTTGATTTAAGAGTAAACCATATGGAGTGTGATGGACAGCAATGCCGAGGAAATAGTGTAATTTGCCATGAATCTTGAGACCAAAGGTGTTGTCAAAGTCTTGAACAATTTGGTGCATAAGCTTAGGATCACTCCCAGTGAGTACTATGTCATCCACATAGACTAAAATGTATAGTTTAGTTATCCCTTGATGGTAAAAAAAATAGACTGGAATCAGAAGTGGAGCTGTGGAAGCCGTGAGACAGAAAGGCAACCTTGAGTTTATCAAACCATGCCCCAGGGGCCTGCTTTAATCCATATAGAGCCTTACGTAATTTGCAAAGATAGGTGGGATTATTTTTGTCAATAAAACCTTCAGGTTGTGTCATGTAAACAGATTCAAAGAGGTCTCCATTTAAAAAAGCATTGTTTACATCCACTTGCTGCACATCCCAACCATGATGAATTGCTAAGGTGAGAATAACTCTGAGGGTAGAGGCGTTGACAACAGGGAGAAGGTCTCAAAGTAATCTACACCAGGGGTTTGATGAAATCCGTTTGCAACAAGCCGTGCTTTACATCTTTGGAAGTTGCCATCAACATTGTGTTTACTTCGAAAAACCCATTTGTTGCCAACCAATGTCATATCAGGGGAGTAAGGCACAAGAGACCAGGTGGTGTTATTCTATAGTGCTTCGAATTCAGATGTCATGGCTACATGCCAACATAGATCTTGCGAGGCTGCCGAAACTGATGAGGGTTTTATAGGTGTGTCAATTGTAGTAGTGTTGAGAAAAGCAACAAATTTTGCTCTTGTAACCATGGGATAAAGATTTTGAATTTTTGAAACAGCAGATTCAGGAGTTGGTGTTTGTGTTGTAAGGTGTGTAGAGGTTGAAAAATATTCTGGGCGAAGATCAACCTCCAAACGTATAGAAGAATAGTGTGTGGAAGTGGGAGCAGATGTTGATGTTGAATTTGAGGTGGAATTTTGTAAGAGGTTATCAGTAGGAGATATGGGAATGGTATCATTTTGAGGGAGTTTGGAAAAAGGTTCAGGGAAAGTAGGGGGTACAGGCAGTTGCCAAGGGGAATATGTGTTTGTGGGATTTGACTGTGGTGTTTTCGAAGGGATAGGAGTTCAGTCAGAGAAATTGTGAGCAAAGGGAAAACAACTCTCATTGAATTTTACACTTTGTACAGTGTAAACTCTGCCATAATTGTTTAAACATAAATAACCTTTGTGATTTGAAATGTAACCCAACAAGACACATGCCTTAGAATGGAAAGAGAATTTCTGTTTCTGATAGGGCCTGATAAAAGGGAAACACTCACATCCAAAGGTTTTGAGTGCTGTGTAATTAGGAGCTTTATTGAATAGCATTTGGAAAGGATTGTTATGCATCAAGGTGGCTGAGGGAAGTCGATTTATCAAATAAACTATTGTCTAAAATGTGAACCACCAGTAACGAAGTGGCATGGAAACTTGAGCTAGAAGTGTAAGTCCAGTTTCAGTAACATGGCGATGCTTGCGTTCGACCTTGCCATTTTGATGGTGAATATGGGGACATGGATGGCAAAAATGAATTCCTTGTTGAGTAAAGTAAGCAGCTAGGGGTCTGAACTCACCACCCCAGTCGGATTGAAAAATTCTAACTTTCTTGTCAAATTGTTGATTTACTAGTTTGATGAAATGAGTGACAGTGGCACAAACTTCATACTTAAATTTCTGAAGGTAGATCTAGTTATATCTTGTATAATCATCCACAAATAGTAAATAGTATTCAAAACCAATGGCTGAAACAATTGGAGCTGGTCCCCAAACATCTGCAAACACCAATTTGACAGGTTCAAGAGATTTGGAGGAAGATGAAGGCTGGACATTGAGATGAAGTTTTCCATACTGACAAGCTTCACAAAAGTGAACTTTATTGATTTCAACATGATGCTTTATATTCATATTATTCACAATGGTTCTAAGAACAGAAAAATGGGGATGGCCTAATCTTCTATGCCACAACAAAACAGCATTGTCAACCATTCCAGCTGGAGAACTTTCTGCCAGTTTGATGGTATTATTGTTTGAGTTATTCTTAGCTAAACTACACGAGCTAACATGCAAGGAAGGCTGAGGAAGCATTTCAGTAGACTGATAAGAATGTGACTCAAGAGAGCTGCGTAGAGAGTCACCATCTGATTTATTTCCAACTCTTCCAATAGTTGGTATTGCAAGCTGGTACAGACCATTATTCAGAAACCTTTCAAGCAGAATTTCTTGTGACAGCCTATCCTTAATGATACATCCATCAGTAGAGAACTCAACAACAACATTATTGCCTTTTGTAATTTTAGAGATACTGAGCAAATTTTTTGTTACATGAGGTACACAAAGTATGTTTTGAAGATAAATAAACTTATTAAGATAATTTTGGGGGAAAGTGGTCAAACCTATGTGTGAGATTCCAAGGCATTGTCCATTTCCAACTTGTAGAGTTTCTAGACCATTATACTGACTTTTGAGAGACAAATTTTGTAAGTCAAGAGTAATATGGTGAGTTGCTCCTGAGTTAATGAACATATTTGGATCTATGACTGTAAGAGGTGAAGCCACTTGTGACGAATTTTCTCTCTGATGGTTGTCAAAATATGTTTCAAGGCCGTGTGTAACTGATCCTGAAGGTTGTTGTTGTTGTGAGTTTAATGCATTTGATTGATACTTCAGTGTTGGAGGTTGGTCACTTATTGTACTCATGGGACCATAATGGACTGGTTCGTATAGTAGGGTACAGGATATGTGTTTGCAAAATAAGCTTGCGCAGAGGTAAAGTTTGGTGCAGGAGTGTTATAGCTTGGTACAGATTGATACCTATGGTTCTGAGCACCTTGGAAGTTTGTATCAAGCCTATGATAACGTTGAAGTGCCATGTGTCATGTTTTCCCAAATAGTTGACATATCATTCTTGGCTTATAGAAATTTCTACCTCTACCACAGCCTCTTCCAAAACTTCCATTTATTGAGTGTACATCTTGACCACTTGAGTAGAAATTCCGTGACTCTATCTATCCTTGAGATGATCCATGCACAGGTTGGTTTGATTGGTGAGCTAATGCATTGAAGCTTGGTTGATGTGGTTGAGAGTTCACAATCTGTTTATTTGCAAGAAAAGCTGCTGCTTCATGAAATCCTATATAAGTTGAATGTTGTTTCTCCAATCTCATCTCATGCTTGTGTAATAGGAATTGCGCTTTTTGAAGAGAAACATCTCCACTTCGAGAAGTTAAATTTGCCACAATCGCATCATATTCGGTTCCTAGGCCATCAAGAATATACATAAGCAGCTCTTCATCGTTAACAACTACTCCAGTGGCAGTTAATGATCCAACAACTTCTTTCATTTTTAGTACATAATCGTTGATGCTCAAGTTTTCTTTTCTAGTAGTTTGTAGAAGGTTTCGCAGATGCAATATTCTGGCTTTTGAATCAGCAAGAAAGTGCATTTCTAAAGTTTTCCAAACATCAAAGGTTGTTTCACAATTTGCTACATGTCTAAACATTGTTTCAGAAATAGAGGATATTAACCAGCCAAACAAGAATTGATCTAGTTTCTTCCACATAGTGTATTCTGTATTAATAATCTTTCTACAATTATCATTAGGAGAGATTAAGAGAGCTGGAGGACACAGTTTATCACCTGTAACGAATCCTTCAAGTTCATAAGCTTTCAATGCAGGGAGTACTTTTGATTTCCAGTAGGCATAGTTCTTCTCTCCCAATTTGACGATGACATTTGGTAGAGCATTCACCAGAGGAAAGGATGATACTGAGCTTGAAAGCTTTCCATCAGCATTGATGTAAGTTGATGCAAGAGACTTAGGATCAGCCATTTGACGTTTGTCAAATTCAGCTCTGATACCATATAAAACTCAGAAAACAGAGAGTAAGAACAGGTATAAAAAGGTTGAAGCATTGTATTTTTCACGTTGATATCATATGTCCCTACGTTTACAATTTATAGAGAAATGAAACAGGGATGATCCCTGTTCACATTCATCTTAGTCGCTCAATCTATATTGCAGAGCTTTTATTCTAGCCATTGGATTGGTTTTTCTTGATACAAGTTGCATGGCAACTTGTCAATTTGCATAACAGATGGATTGCAACTTGTCAACTTGCATAACAGTTTCTGCTGCAACTAAGGGTGAGCACGGGTAGCAGGTAGAACTGGAACCTGGGGGTAGAACCGGAACCGGAACCGGAACCTACCCAAAACTGGCACTGTGCAGGTAGGTTCTGGTTCCATTTTATTGGAACCGACAATGTGCGGTTCCGGTTCTGGTTTTTATGTGTGGAGGAACTGGAACCGAAACCAGAACCTGGAAAAAGAACCGATTTTTGGGACCAATTTTTGGAACCTATTTGGAACCTGGACTGCAATAAAAATATGAAATATTTGTAAAATGTGAATAATGGGGGGTTTCTATTATTTTACATATAAAAAAATTTAAAATAGAAAAAGTTAAATTTTTAGAATAACCTAATTAAATAAATATACAATTATACTTATTACATATAAATTACACCATATTAAAAACTTTAATATATTATAATATATTAATATTAAAGTTTTGATTAATTAAGTGAATAACTGGAATTATGATCCAATTAAAAGTGTTTTAATGTTATTAAAAGAATTATTTTTGAATAAAATAGTATATTTGATTGAATAATAATATATTTAGTTATTTACTTCAATTATCAAGTTTTAAGTATATCTATAATAAATTAGCAATTAATTAATTATATATAATAAATTGATAAACATTAATATATTTAATTACTAGTTAAATATCATACTTAATCAATTATAACATTACATTATAGTTAAATAATTACTTAATTGATTTATAGTATAATTAATTATAGCATTACATTAATTGACTTATAACATTTAGTATATTACTTAATTAAATAATTAGAAATTTAATTAATTATAGCATTACATTATAGATTTATTATTTATAGTATAATTACTTAATCAATTATAACATTTCATTATAAACATTAGTACAAACTTAATTGAATGATTAAAAATTTAATTAATTATAATATTACATTAAAAATTTATAGTATGATTACTT